TATTATAAACATTGTCGATTCCCACTTCCTTTAACATTTAGGCGAGATTACATCGCGTGGGAGCTACAACTCTCATCATTACGGACTGTCGGGGCGGCACAGCCGCGCTGCAATGTGACGCAACAGCGGCTGCGGCTCGGTGACGGCGAATCAGCTAATTTCATGGAATTCGGCTGCAAACTCCCACTTTTTCAGCTCTCCAAGCTTCGAAAGTGGGAGGTGAGTTATTCTGAACACTTTTAAATTGTACTGGCTCAGAATGAATGAATCTGAAAGAATGCAAGCCATTTGAATGAATGCCTAAAATAAGGAAAAATACAAGGAAAAGAGCTTAATAATCGACATAAAAATAAAGGAAATCAGAGCCAGTACAATTCAAAATTGTTCAGAATAACTCACCGTCAATTTTAGAAGCTCGAAGAGCTGAAAAAGTGAAAGTAAAAGGAATTTGCAGCCGAATCCCATCGAGATCAGCTGATTCCTCGTGTCACCGTGCCGCAGCCGCTGTCGCGTCACAGTGCAGCGCGGCTGTGCTGCCCCGACAGTCCGTAATGTTGAGGACTGTAGAATGAAGTGAATATCGAGAATGGGGGAGCGTACGTAACATCTAAGCCGAACTTCCATGTAAGAAACCGATTGGTCTCCCATTGCATACGGTTTCAAAGCGTGTTTTATGCGGCATCGGAGGCAGTGCCTCCTCCTGATCTGACCAACAGAGCAGGCGGAATGGTGAAGATGAAGTAAAAGATGATGGGAGTAAAGATGTCGTACATTTCTCGAGTAATGTCAACTCATACAAACCATGGGGAAAACCAGCATTATTATTGATCTACAAACATTTCTGTTTCTTATAGCACTTGATAAACGACTTTGAGTCGGGGCAACAGCTTGTTACAGTTCTTCAGACTACAAGTGTAAAATTTTCTCAGAACTTTCCTGAAAGCCTAACAGTTGGAAATGCGGCAGCAGCGTGATGGGGTCGCATCTGACTCGATGTAGTTCTTCTGTAGTTATTCCTCCTCAGTTTTTGCTGTTTCATACGTGCCATATATTCCAAGATGCCCGTTTGTGGATATAACATGGCTTTCAATGCTTGTTAGCGACATTGAAAGATGTGTTATATCTGCCCAACATGAAGCTTAGTGGGGTTTAAAGATGTTATGTGAAACACTTTTTTTTTGCGATGACTTTCCATTGCTTGCCGCGTTGTCATAAAACTGGCCTTCTTCCGATTGTTGACAACTTTTAAACATTAATTTTGGGTTTCTGATCAAATTATGTCTTTGAAGAGAGAAAAAAGACAGGAACCTCAAAAACCGGAAGATGAAACGAATATGATCGAAGGTGACTCGATATGGCATCATTCTCGGGGTTTCCAGGGTTTTGGAACAAGTAATGTCATCCCTTTTTGACCGTTCTCGTCGTAGGAAAGGCCTCCGAAAACGATTATAGAATCGGTGGATCACTTTGACATTTATTCTTCACAATAAATGCATCTGCGCTCCCTTCTTCCCGTTCCCGTTAAGCAAGTTCGATACGACTGATGGATTGTATAGTGAGGACTTCACTCTACACTCCCCTTCATTGAGCATCGGACGCCACAGACAAGTTCTCCTCCAACAGTGAAAGGATCCTTCAGCCATAAGAGAAGAAGGAAAAAGAAGAAAATGAAGATATGACTTGAAAGAGCAGGAGTATTTCTCAATCAATGGAAACTATCGCACACTAACCATGAACATTTCAGAGCGGAACGAGATAATTGCAGGCACTTCCAGAGATAGCTGTAACACCCGTCATTTGCACAATTTTCCGTGAATGATATTTTATCACACCCTCCTATCAGCGAGAAGGTAAGTACATCTTATGAAAGCATGGGATTCGGAGAACAGCGTAATGTACTCATTTGTGTTCAATCACGCCGTTTCGCCCTCGACATTGTCGAGAAATTTCTTGGCCGATTCGCTGACATGCTGGACAAGGCTTGTATAGGCTTACATAGATGTTTTCCAAACCCAACATCGGGATACATTTTGTGTTAGCATCAGTTGTTAGTGGTATCACATTATCGTCAATTTTGACCCTTGCGCCAAAAAGGTTGAAAGTGTATGTGACCATTAGCGAAAACCACGCTCGATCCGACCCAGCACATGGTCCGATGTGGTCTAGTGGTTAGGATTTGCGGCTCTCACCCGCAAGGCCCGGGTTCGATTCCCGGCATCGGAAAACGTTTTGCATTAGCAGTGGTACACAAAGGCCGCGGTTCTCGTCGATTTGGCGCTTGGACTGAAAGATTCAAAGTGTATGTGATCGTTTTGGAGTAAACAGCGCTCGTAATGGCCCATGACAGGTCTGATTTGATCTAGTGGTTAGGATTTGCGGCTCTCAGCCTACGAATGGTGTTGATCAGCCGCACGGTGGTTTTTGCAGGTCAGCGCGTTGCGAACAGAGCACCTTTTGTAATTCCCCAAAAGACCCAGTCATAGATGCAGAAAGTCTTCGTGAGAACACAAATTGGCCTTTACATTGCTTGCCATGCCTCCTATCGGGCCGGAATCCTCTACTTCTTCCTCTGGTTCACTCTCCGCTTCGTCAGTGACTCAGCCGCGGAAATTGTGCAGCTGCTTGGAGCTGACGCGAACCGTTTCGAGCTCATTGAAGAAAATAGATAGCGCATCACCTTGTCATGAGAGTTGGGCTGATATGGTGTGCTTGCTCCTGCTTATGGACCAATGTCTTAGAAACGTTTCATCACGAAATCAATGGAAAATCGGTCGAAATTACCACCAAGAAAACGTGCAAGTAGAAAGGCCGAGGAAGACCTTCAGAAAGTGCGACATTTCTTTACGTTAAGCCAAGAGCTATGGATGCGCCATCTCTACATGGCATTGGGAAAACGGGCGATTCTATCGTAAGCTATGGAGTCGCACCACTTTATCCACGCCACTTGTTGGGTATGTGGCAAGAGAATCGTAATTCGCCTCGCCAGAAGCGTCGCGTGAGACGTCGCGTCTGCTAATGACGCCGATTTTAGATGATACTGGTCAAGAGTAGACAGTGTATGACTATAAATGGAGTTAGGTGTCCACCATGTCCACATTAGATCCGGTGCTCCAATCGAAAGGGTAGTGCAAGTTAAGGAAACCTCGCGCCCAATGCCGCTCGCGACAAAGCGGCAGTTTACGATTCACTTGCCCGTCTCTCCCAGTAGTTACTGGGGGAAGAGATATGCTCCTGTTCACAGCGTGCCCTTCGATTGGGATGAATTCCACTGATAGTTTGAACAAGCTCGGAGACAACAGAGCTCGTAAGCTCGTACACAGAGCTGCATCGCCACAGGCCACGCCCACCTCCATGGCGACACACGATAGAATCGCCTCATACCCTAATAATGACTGACGCGAAAGTCGGAATTATGGATTTCAAAGTCTGGTGATCAGATCACCTGAAGGGTGTCACGTGGTTAGAGGGAAGGAAACTCATGACTGCGCATGAGTGTCACACCGCAAGAAATGTGTGAAGGAATCAAATAGGGAACAGTTCCCCATAATATTATTCTCGTCTACGATTACCATATTTCAAAGCAGTTCAAGTTAATTCTTTATATTAATTAGAAAATTTGTAACATAAAATCATTACAACATGTACAAAACTGAAAATGCATAATAACATTTGAATAGTGAACAAGATGTTATTACATAGTAAAGGCAAAGAGACAGAAGTACACGTCCCTCAGGTCAGAAGAAAGGTTGATGATACGTTTTAGTGAAGCTCATTGAAAAACCATCATGTGTACAAGAAATAGGCACAAACCTACTCATCAATAACGTTACATAATTGATCGATAAAACAAAAAAAACACATACATAGTAGAGATGCTAGCGGTAAGTTGCACTTGCGGGGATAACGAGAACACTGCGAGATAGGCAGAGAACGAGGGAGGGAGAGGGAGGGACGAGAAATAGAGGCCCTAGAGGAAACTTTGAAGAAACATTGAGAATCAGTTCATCACAGACTCAGCAAGGAATGTATATCGGTACAATATGCTTCGAACCAGTGGACAACCACTGTTTACAAAGAAAAACGGCCCTGCTACCCAAAGTGATTATTTCAAGCCTACTGGTAAAACAACAGGGGACACTGCTATTTTCAGATGTCGTGCTTAGTCTAAAAAAGTCAGTATTACCTCTCCTGAACATAGCACGAAGGTTACGCTGCGTTCATACTTTGCGGCGGAGACCACAAACGTCTACCAGTGTGCACTGACCACTAGGGTTCCGAGCGGCCGGTAGCTTCAGCGAGTAGGAAGGTATAGATATCGATCTGGCTTCTGCCAGCGTCTCGAGGGCTAAGGAAGTAAAATCAATCTAGCGTTCACCAGCGTCCAGGAGCGTTTACCAGCGACCGGCCGGGAGTAGAAAGCATAGGGAAGTAGGAGGATATAAAACAGCGGATTAGGCGTCGTGAAATTGCAACGAGTGCAACTGCACTGCACAACTGCTAAAGCACAGAATTATGCAGTTCAACGTACGGTGTAGTGTAATTGTACGGCGCGGTTGCACACGCCGCGATTTCAGGACGCCTAATCCGGCTGTTTGCTACCCTCCTACTTCGCCACTCTCTCTACTCCCGGTCGCTGGCAAACGCCGGTAGAGGCTGGTGACACATCTATATCTATACTTCCCTAGCCCTCAGGACGTTGGCAGACGCTAGTAGACCCTGGCAGACGCTAGACTCGATACCTATACATACTTTCCTGATTGCTGACGCTGCCGGACGCTCGGAACGTTAGTGGTCGCTGGTGGGCGCTACCACAAAGTGTGAACGCAGCCTTATAAAAGCAACTGTCGAATACTCACCTGGCAGTACATTGCGTAGAAGAGCTTTTGATATTGGCTGATATTGATTATCAGATATTACTGAAGAAAACGAAGGTTGACGAAAAGATCAGTGCATAAAGAATTGGCCAGTGGCCCAGTATGGTAGGCAGATATCTATTCCTTTCAGGATGAGCAGACACCCATCTTTGGCAACTGAGTCAATCGTCGCTTCGCTAATGCCGATGCATTCACTGGACGGAGATTGACGGCACTTGTCGTTGTCAGCGCTCGATACGTCTGCTCAAGAGCGCCCTAAAATCAACGGTTCGTTTTTTGAAAGTTCTGAAAACCGAACTCCTTTTCCACTCACCTTGACTGTTTCCACGTTGTACACATTATTTACAATAGTAGTTGTGGGAATGCTGTTCCTATGGGTGATCCATGGATGTTGAAGGATTTGCTTTGCAGCGGGACGTCGCGACGCGTCCACGTCCAGCAGCTTACGAACGAGGTCCTGGGAAAGGCATGTTGAGCACGAGCAGTTCGACTGAATGAAGCTACCCGAAGAATACCTGTCACATACCTTTGCATTATCGCTAATGTCCTCCCATGCCTTGCCCTCCATCACGACACGACCTTCGCCAACGCGCCTGAGGATTTCGTCAGCCGGATCATTTGGTCCCATTGCGAAAGGTGCTTGACCGGATAACATCGTATACAGTAAGACACCCAAGGACCACACGTCACACGATCTATCGTATCCTTGACGCTTCAGCACTTCCGGGGCGACCTGAAATTGATGATGTAAGTCAGGATTTCTTACATTAAGTGATTTTAATTACTACTTATGCTACAAAACCCCTATCAGGGGATAAAAGAGCAAACGTGTGCAGGCACCTCCTACATTGGGGGATTTCCGAGCGGGGGGGGGGAGGGTCGTAAACGGTCTGACGAATCCTTTTTGGTTCTTCCTGTTTCGAGGCGCTATTCACATTGTCGGAGGTCGTGGTTGCTCGTCCTTGGAAGAGGGGGGATCACATCCGCCTTCGGGAGAAATTTGCCGCGTTGCGATATTTGCCCCTCCCCCTGGTTAGTGGCACTTCAGAACTACTGCTAGTTCTCATAGCTGCAAATAATAGTGACGAGTTGCTACGACTCCAATAACCGCCCAGCAACGGCGCATTTACTGGGAAGGGGGGGAAACGGAAAATTCGTCGGGAAATCCGGTGAAAGTAGTATGAAACCTGAAAAAGTTGGCAGGATAGTAGGCAGGATGGGGAAGCAGGCGCCGGGTATAGAGGATGAGATGAAAGCGCGGTAGTGTATTTTTCGAAATTCCTCAGACAGCAGGACGTGCCTTGATTGAATGGAAGTTTTATTTCGATAGCTGGTCGGCTTCTCCGTGAGCGGACTAAGCGAGTTTCACCTGCGGAGCTTTGGCCCCTCCCCTCCCGCTCCCTCATTTTTGCAGTCACTTTTCGATGAGAAGCTTTGAACCTCACAACTGAGCCTTAATAGCAGGGCGTTCATTAACATGCCGTTTTCTGCTCGAGATTTGCTTTGGCGAACCAAAGTCGATTGATGCGCGTAGTGATTCGGATTTCACAGTCTGCTGGACGCGTACATGATGTTCGACGGTTTCAGATTCCCGATGAGCACTGCAAAGATTTGTGAGAAAGAAAAAGATAATGGTTAGCTGTTTGAAAAGTGAATCACCACTGCATACCTGGTTGGAATGCAGATAGCAAACGGCACTCGCGAGGTTCGCCATCGACGCTGCTGCTTCACGTTCGGTAAAGGTTTTCTTCGATAGAATTCTGCAAAAAAAACTTTCGAAGGCTGTATGCATACAGCAGTTATATGCGATTCAATGGCTATACGCTAGAGATGTTAATAGAACCTGGTGAAAAACATGCGGCAAAGAATCCTAGGGAAGAAATGCAGTAATGCTTAGGCAAAGATGCAGAGAGATTTGGACGCATTATCTGAGTAAAACGGTGCGGCTGCCAAGCCATTACGTGGGCGGAAGCGGGATCATACTGGTCTACCTGATGAAGTAGCGGATCAATGAGGATCTGTTTACCTTCGGCTTAGCAGATACTCAAAACAGTCCCGGTGCTTAAGCAATTCGTAACCGTCCCTCCCTGTACAAGTCGACTGGTCCTCAGTCTAGTCTAGGGTTATCCCACATTGGCGGCTTCACAGTATGTGATGAAGGCGCTGCGGCTCTCGGGAATTGCATCTCTCAAGCCTCCCCAGTTTACCGCCCAGCAAAAATCTAAGGCTATTTTCCTTACGAGTTCGTTTTTACGCCATGTTTTCCACGTTTTCCCTCTTAAATGGTGTAGTGGCGAAAAACGATAAAAAATCTTAAAAGAGAGGCTGCAGGATATTGCTTTAATGGCATAAAACGAGCAGGTCGGAACAACTCGTCCAGAGAGTACCAGGTCTTTACATAGGGTTTTTGCCACGGTTTTTTCCGCGTTCTTCTTCTCTGGAGAATTATTCAAGGTTTGTAAGTGAGCGCTACTATACACAATATACGTCCAGGGGGGGGGTTTAAGTCTTTCCGAGGAGAGGTCGGGGAGGCGGAATAAACAAAGGGTTACAACAAGTCACTAAACGCAAGTCAATGGATCGATTGCCGTACCTGTCAAGCATTTCGCCACCACGACAGTACTCAAGTACAAGATTAACATGTGTTTCGTCTTCATAGACGTCGAACAATTTCACAATATGTGGATGATGCCCGTGGCGAAGAAGAATGTCCACCTCTTCCGATGGATCACATGCCGATTTTTTAATGATCTGAAAGTGTCCCAGAAATCAGTCCCCAATCAATGTGGGGATAGTTGCAGTCGCAACATTTCAATCAAATTAACACTGACCTTGACGACAAATTCGCGTTTCGTCGTTTTCATTATGCAACGTCGAACAATGGAGAACGTTCCAGTTCCGACTTCCTGAAGAAAATGGCATTGTTGGAAAAGTTATCAATCAGAACACGATGTTTTCTTGGGTTTTCTTAACGAGAAAGTCTTTTCTTTCTGTTAATTAAAGACAATTCTCGCAATCGTGTGTTACTGGTAGTAGGTGCTCAATCATGAACCAGTAGCGCATAAGTAACTCCCCAGAAGAGAAGCAATCGAAAAAAACATAGGACGAATTTGTCGGACATTGTCAAGCTCATTCAATACGACGCAACCCAGTCCTGCATCCAATTACTTGCAAAAGCACAGGAAATCACCCCACGACGCTCCAGGCAATTCCGGTACACGCGCGCGATTCCGCTTGTAAGCCGTTGTCTTGTAGAGTAAAAGTCATCGTGGTTACAATGGTTGCAATGGTTACGCGTCTCTAGTATCTTTATCTCGCCGTTTCAAGCGACGACAGTGGGATATGCGAATGTGGACAACGAAGCCAAAAGCACGGGGGTACTCCGCGGACCATTTAATCGCGGGAACTATCCTCAAGGGCCTCTAGGAACTAAGCGCGGAGGCGATTGTGAATCCAACGCGCCAAACGTCTAATGACTTTCCGTTGAGAAGAACCTTCGGCCTCTTGGAAGGAAGTTACGCTTGCATTCCTGATGAATTCTTTCCCGATATCCGCTCTCCTCAGAGCCGTGGGTGATCGAACATCAACTTCATGGGATATGGGGGCGAAAGAGCAGTCCCTATGATTGAGCGATGGCAAGGATGACCTTCGATTTTGATCATTGAGCGCCGGAAGGAGGTCTCTGAGATGCATTGTAAAAGCACGGCACGCTCCCGAGCAATCAGCTGTTTCTGACGAGCTCTATGAAAATACAAGGCGCTGAGACAAAGAGAATCCAGATTGGCAGCCAATGGTTTTGCATAAAAGAAAGTAAATGTTCGACTTGTCCAGATCAACACTACTAAGCCTTGAGAACGGTTCTGATGTATTTTCGTGAAGAATGAATCCCGAATGGAAATGATGGAAAGATAAAGTAGCAGGTGCTCGATCTTGAACCTCCTAACGCCCGAATGTGTGCTGCTCT